CCCCAAAACCCCAAAACCCCAAAACCCCAAAACCCCTTAACTCCTTTGGGGGATTGGGTTTAATTGTTTTTAAGTGGGAAGAGAATTATGGAAGCTAATGTAAGAGAACTCGTCGAGAGCTTTAGCACTAGAATATTATCTCTAAAGCATGCTTAGGCGACTTAAATGCTTCATTGGGTCCCTAAATCCGATTTATTCAAAGAGTTAGATTCTCATTTATAAATGTTTGTGCAAGTCACTGGGCTAAGAGGAAGACCAAGAATGAGACTCCGAATAAAAATCGATGTCTAATGATACAAAATATAGTTCAAACACGTTTCTTTTGAAGAAATGAGCGGAATTGATGAAGATTATGATAAGGAATGAAAATATCAAGTTTCACAATTAATTGAGCTGGAAGGTACGTTTTGGACGTCCCAAATCTTTAGGATTTTCAGCTGCACAAGCACTTTATTATCATAATCTTGAAACCAATCCTGATGTAAAGGAACCTAAAGTGTTAGTCATTGTTGGGCCTGGTATTAATGGTGGAGATGCATTGGTCGCTGCTAGGCATTTGAAGTTCTTTGGCTATGATATCACGATATTTTACCCAAAGAGACCAAAGAAGGAGATGTTGGAGAATCTCACACTTCAGTGTGAAAATATTAGTATTCCCTTTATTGAGTCCCTTCCTGAAGAATTTGGGAGTGACTCATATGATTTCATTCTTGACGGAATCTTTGGCTTTACTTTCAAAGGAGAGATCAGAAGTCCCTTTAAAGAAATCATTGACCAAATAGGAGCTAGTGGGATCAAGATAGTATCCGTAGATGTCCCTTCTAGTTGGCAATGAGATGAAGGGAATGTTAATTCTACTTACACCCCTGACATTCTGATTTCCCTCACTGCACCAAAGAAATGCTCAGAAGGATTCTCTGGTGTTCACTACATTGCAGGCAGGTTTACACCAAAGTAAGTCCTTTTTTGATGTTTGTAGGTTTATTGTTGACAAATATGGCCTTTCAGTTCCCCCATATGAGGGATGCAATCAGTTTGGAAAGATAAACTAGTGCTTGATTCAATACGATACGGATATTTAGGGGTTTTGGGGTTTTGGGGTTTTGGGGTTTTGGGG